ATACTAAATTACAGCTAATTCGACAAAAGACAATATTATGCAAAATTTCAGCACCCTATCTCAATTCCTTCAGAAGATAGCGTGATTACAACAGACGGACGAACATGGCTAGATCGTCTTAGAATTTTGCCCTGATCAAGAATATATATACTTTATGGGGTCGGAAATGAATATTTCGATGTTTTACAAACGGAATGACAAAATTAATATACCCTCCATACTATGGTGGAGGGTATAAAAATGGTTTTGCAGGAAATGCATTTTAAGTTTTCAATTGCCTCGCACCTTTCATGGAACGGAGGAAATTCTACAGCTTCTCAATTCGAGTGTGAAAGAGATATTCGTCCGATTTTTTCATCGGATTTTTTACACAACATGAAGTCTGATCTAGCGAACAATTCGGTATGATTAATTTAAAAACAGGATTTTTGATTTGTACAGCAAATGAGCGATATATAGTTTATGTACTTCAATATAATTTACGAGGCCAATAAAAAATGGCTAAATATACAGATTTGTTCTGTAATCGAATCATATTAGCTGTAGATAAGAAACCATATTTCATATGACCGGAAGAGGTTCAATTTTGTGCTATTGGGTGGGCATAACCAGAATACAGAAAATAATTCAACAACAAGTAGAAACGATTCTGAAAGATGGACAAGCTAACTTCAGACCAAATAAAAGCTGTTTGGACCACGCCAGAACCCTACGAGTCATAATAGAAAAATCTATAAAATAACATACCCCCTCTACCCCTTGTAACTACTGTTTATCGATTTCAAGAAAGCTTTACATACCATCAGATGAACTGTCATATGGGAAGCATTGAGAAAAAAGGGAGTACCCTCAGAACATAACCTGAATAATTATATGGCTTCTATCTGTCTTCTTTCTCACAAGATATTCAACCTATGGAGGCGAATGGAGGCGTATAGCTTAACTAGAATGACGCTTGCATGAAATACCCAATCCTATAATCCAAAGAACTAAGAAATCTATGTCCATACTTTCACACAACCCCCACAAAAATTTCCCACCTCTTTTTAGATGTTTTTTATCGTCCTAGAAATATTTTCCAATCGAAGTTGCTCTAATGAATATAGAGCTTTAATATTTTGTATATACATTGTTATTGACCATTATTTAAGGTAGCCTCTATATGACGGTACCCGCAAATATTCGATATTTTGAAAATTTTTGTTACGTTTTTCAACCAAATTGGCTCCAATGTGATATTTTGAGTTACAATTGGGTAGGAAATCTACCTACCATAAACCGGAATTGATCCACTGTTTCAAATAGCCACTGATTTTATCGACATTTGTATTTTGGGTTTAACTCGATAGAAAACCTTCCACTAAATATTAGGTTGGGGAAAAGAAAAATCCATTATTTTTTTCGGCTGATGGCTGTACTGATAGAATTCTCGTAAAGTATCGATCAAACAATTTCAGATTTATGCTCCTTGGAAGGGTGTCATTTCGCAGTAAAAATAATATTTTGCTGTTTATTGTTTGGTACATTCAATTGTGAGTTGCAGGGTGTTAAAAATGGAAGTGAACAAAGAGAAAACTCGGTTCATTTTACAGTTTTTTTTTTTGACAAACGCGAAAATGCAAGCGAAGCGGCTAAAATTGTGAATGGGGTTTATGGTTCGATACTGTAATATGCAATTATGCGCAATTTTGGTTTCGTACATTCCGTTCAGGAATTTTTGATGTTAAATGTCGATAAAATCAGAGAAATGATCGAAGTTGACCGGCATCTTAGCACTCGTAACATCGTCCAGGAGCTAAAAATCGAACAGTTTTAAACCATTTATAATTGACCAGAAACGGTCTACAGGACAACGCTAGGCCACACACATCTACAGTGAGTCGCCGGAAACTTCGGGAGCTTATTTGGGAAGTTTTAATGCATCCGCCATACAGTCCGGACTTGACACCAAGCGATTATAACCTTTAGCTTTTATTGCAAAATTTCATTAATGATAAAAAATGGTATCTAGGAAGGATTGTGATAATCGACTACTAGAGTTTTTTTTTTGCCCAAATCGGACATCCCGGTATGCCAGTTCTTGGTAATTTTGGAACATTATTTTTTCAGAACATGAACAGACTGTTTCCACATAATGCAATAACATAACCCCTTATAACAGTGCAAACCAATTTAAGGAATTTTGAATGGACACCACGATTTTTTACGTGTTTGAAAGGTCCAATCTATTTTGAGTATTTTTAGACTTTAAGACTCAGTTTCAAATACATGTTAGGATATTATTAATATTTTCAATATCCCGATATAGTGCTCATATGACGGCACGGCACATGTTCGGTATGCTGAAGATCTCAGCCGAAATATCCAAACTGATTATCTATGATTTGAGATTTTCTTTTTTTTCTCAAAAAATTCTAAAAAACATCGCCTTATAACAGCTTAGCGGAACGAATAACAAGTTCAGACCAGCTAAATTCAACAACTATGATTTGTGGAGTTCTTCGGAATTACACACAGGTTTTATTATTACCTCTCAAATCGGTTAATCAATTCGCTTCAAATTATATTTACAGGTTTATAATATAATGACCTTTTTGTGGGGAGGTACCAGAATAAGTGGGCCGACGGGTCCCGCCTTCGGACTTCATCTAGGTTTGATAAAGATAATAGGTTGTACAAATTTTGTTTCAAATAGGACATTCCATTCGCATAATATTGAATCCATATGCATTAAACATTATGTCCCTTTGATAGGATGTTACCAGAAGAAGTGGACCAATTAGTCCCATATTCGGACTTTATCTAGATTTGGTAAAAATTATTAGCCATAAGTGTTTGAGTTGTCATGTGATAAAGTTGATGCTGCTAAACTCTGACCCCTAAAGAAAGCAGTAAGGAAAGTAGTAAAGTCTGATCCAATTTGGGTATATTCAACAGACATCGCATTTCCGAAGGACCATTAAAATGAAATCGGTCGAAAAATATATATGGGAAATGCCTGAATTTCTACAAAACGCAATTACGTTAGTTTATGGTCAATTTTGTACGTTGCGGAAAATTTCAAGTCAATGTGACTAACGTGAGGATTTGATGCACCATTTACAAAAAATCGGTCGAAAATATATATGGGAGCTATATCTAAATCTGAAGCGATTTTCACCAATAAATTAACTGTGTCAAAGTTCATCCAAATCGGATTATATAGTGACCTGTATTTTGCTTACAATTTAACATGGACAGACAGACGGACGGCCATGCATAAATCGATTCAGGCCATGTGTCTATTTCGTTTCCTTTTGCCTATTACAAACATATGCACAAAGACAAAATACCCTGTCACACATGACCATCACATCTTAATCAATTCATTAAATTCTAAATTAACCTATCAAAAATATATTCTGGCTTCAAAAAATCTCTGGTTTTTGTTCGTATCATATCACCATGGAGAATGTCGCAATTTTCTAGCACAAATTTGACACATGTATTGGCAAAGGAATTTTTATTGTACATTTCAAGGACTCAATAACCAAAAAGTAATTAGAACGTATATTATGACACACATTTTATCATCATTATCAACGTCAACGATTGCCGAACGAACACACCATTACTAATCCAAAAAAAACTTCTTTTCGTTTGCTCGTTTAGGGGATTTTTTATTGGGCCACCTTTAAAAGTGGCGACAGAATTTCATTGGCAATTGTCCTAATCTGTCATATAATTCTACATTGAGAGTAAGAGACATAAATGGATAGAACTAGGCTAAGTGCCAAAAAAATGAACGAAACTTTTCAAATAATGTGTCCACCAACCGGCAGGCAGACAGACAAATGTGTAACAGATTCCATAGACATATGTGTGATACTTCGCCAGTAACTTACAATAACCTACAGAAGTTCCGTTCCCCTCTCAGTGTGTGCTCAAAGCGGAGAAACTGGTCAGAATTATTTCATCTGTAAGTGGAAATGCCGCTGACCGCCGCTGTTGTTAGTCCCTGAGGCTAATAACTAGGCATAGTCCATCGAAGCAGCAGAACCCGAAGTGGTAGTTAGTGAGTGAGTATAATAGCCATAGAATTGATAATAAAAACGGCAAATCAAGTCAAGGATAACGGTGATGATATAGAACACAGCTGGCAAAGAAATCATATTGCTACTGCTGCTGCTACTCCGATGCCATACTTAACCGGGCTGTTTTCGTTGGGAGGGGGCTCTAAGCAACAAATGCTTGTAAATAAAAGAGTGCGTCTTCTTGTTGGGAGCCATCTAAGCAACAGAGTGGCATCGTATGGCTTGGCTGGCAATATGGAATATGGGTTTCCTTTGTGCTCGACCGCCTATCCTAGCCTAGCCGAGGCATGACCTGACCTGTGTGCCACATTAAATCCGTTTAAAACAGATTGCGTCAACTAAAAATCTCATATAACACGAAGTCAAAGCCAAAGACATAGAAAACTGATTGGTTGTGTCCCCTCAAAAAAGAAATAAATGCAGGACACTGAGGACATAAAAGGTAGACGGGGAGAGAAAGAGAGTAAAGAGAGTCGGTGGAGGTCCATAAAGAGATTTCAAGAAATATGAACTTTTTTCCAAACGGCGATAATGTGGTGGCAACATATTGCGGCCTTAACGAGATAAATGTCAGCCTTTGGGACATTAAATGGCATTTTCAAAAGCACCATACAATAATACAACAGCAACAACAACTTCCACACAATGTTCAATAATGGAACAACAACAAAAATGTGGAGAACGAACAAAACTAAAACATAAAACATTCTTATTAAATGTGACTGCATTGCAAATTAACCAATATTGAAGACGAAGAAATTGTTATTGTTCCCACACTGTGGCCAACTGTGGACCACCACCCCACCCCGCCATCGATTTTAAAATAATATGTTCAAGGCAAACTGACATTAAAACAATTTGCCTTTTTTGAAAAAAAAGAAATATCCGTAGCTATTAAAGCCAAAGCTGATTCTCTTTGGTACTTACATTTTTAAACCATGAATATGATGTTACGGGTGGCCTGGCATCGGCACGACATTTAAATGTAACATTTTGTCCTTCAGCTCGGGTGACGACGCGACTTGGATCTTCATTGGCCAAGTGGACCGAAACAGTTGGTGGATCTGAAAAGAAACAAAAAATTGTAAATATGTTATTAGAGCCATGTGAATGTATATGTGAGAGGGTAGGAGGGGTAAGGCGGGACATGAAAATAAATTGGCCAATTGAAAGACGTTGGAAAATATAATGAACGTTCACAAATTGACTCATAGAAAAGAAAAAATAGAGCTTAATAAATAAATTGCAATTACTTTAAGAAGGTGCACGTTTTTTCCTCTTTACGCTACCTAAGGGGAACCTAAGTTCAAAAGGTAGTTAGACAAAACTAATGGGCAAATGGCATAAAGTGGGGACCATGAGAGATAACAGTGGGTAGCAGGCCCGATTTTTTTAGAGAATGTTTTTTCAAGGGTTATATGAGACGTGGATTTTTTAAAGATTTTTTTGAAAAGCCTTATATAAGGCCTTAATTTTTAAAGAATATTTTTTTCAGGCCAAAAATAAGGCGTGGATTTTTTAAAGTATATTTTTTCAGGGCTCCTAAAACAAGGCGTGAATTTTTTAAAGAATATCTTTTCAGGGCCCCTTAAACAAGGCGTGGATTTTTTAAAGAATATTTTTTCAGGGCCCCTAAAAAAAGGCGTGGATTTTTTAAAGAATATTTTTTAAGGCCCCATAAAACAAAGCGAGGATTTCTTAAAGAATATTTTTTCCAGGACTAAAAAAAATATTCTTTTTTCCAGGACTAAAATATTTTTTCAGGGCCCCTAAAACAAGGCGTGGATTTTTTAAAACTAGAACGCCGAAGGCGGTCATTTTGACCGCTTTCCAATTTCAAGTACAAAAGCAACTGTGCATTTAATGACAATTTTTTTTTAACTATGGTGACTTTTTGTACCTCATAGAATTACGTTTATTATAAAAAAATCACAAAATTTAAAAAAAGTGTCATTAAATGCACAGTTGCTTTTGTAATTGAAATTGGAAAGCGGTCAAAATGACCGCCTTTGGCGTTCTAGTGTTAAAGAATATTTTTTCCAGGACTAAAATATTTTTTCAGGGCCCCTAAAACAAGGCGTGGATTTTTTAAAGAATATTTTTTCCAGGACTAAAATATTTTTTCAGGGCCCCTAAAACAAGGCGTGGATTTTTTAAAGAATATTTTTTCCAGGACTAAAATATTTTTTCAGGGCCCCTAAAACAAGGCGTGGATTTTTTAAAGAATATTTTTTCCAGGACTAAAATATTTTTTCAGGGCCCCTAAAACATGGCCTGGATTTTTTAAAGAATATTTTTTCCAGGACTAAAATATTTTTTCAGGGCCCCTAAAACAAGGAGTGGATTTTTTAAAGAATATTTTTTCCAGGACTAAAATGTTTTTTCAGGGCCCCTAAAACAAGGCCTGGATTTTTTAAAGAATATTTTTTCCAGGACTAAAATATTTTTTCAGGGCCCCTAAAACAAGGCCTGGATTTTTTAAAGAATATTTTTTCCAGGACTAAAATATTTTTTCAGGGCCCCTAAAACAAGGCCTGGATTTTTTAAAGAATATTTTTTCCAGGACTAAAATATTTTTTCAGGGCCCCTAAAACAAGGCCTGGATTTTTTAAAGAATATTTTTTCAGGGCCTAAAACAAGGCGTGGTTTTTTTTAGAAAAGTTTTTCAAGACCTCAAACATGGCGTGGATTTTTTAAGAAAATATTTTTTTCAAGACCTAAAACCAGGCATGCATGTTTTAAGAAAATTTTTTCAAGAACTAAAACAAGGCGTGGATTTTTAAGAAAATATTTTTTCAAGGATCAAAAGCGGGTGGCGATTTTTGCAGAATATTTTTTCAAGGATCAAAAGCGGGTGAGGATTTTTGTAGAATATTGTTTAAAGGTCCAAAAATAGGTGGGCATTTTTGCAGACTATTTTTTCAAGGATCAAAAATAGCTAAGATATTAGCAGATATTTTAATCGATCACAAACAGGTGAGGATTTTTGCAGAATATTTTTTCAAGGATCTAAAATAGGTGAGGATTTTGTGCAGAATTTTTTTCAAGGATCTAAAACTGGTGAGGGTGCCTGCAGAATATTTTTTCAATTATCTAAAATAGGTGAGGATTTCAGGAGACTGAAATAGGCGTGACTGAAATAGGCGTGACTGAAATAGGCGTGAAGTTTTAGAGAATATTTACTTAAGGACTAAAATAAGCGTGGATTTTTTAAACTTTTTTAGGTCTAAAATAGGCGGAGATTTTGAAGATTGAAGATAATATTTTTCGAGGACTATTGGAATGCGTTTATATATTAAACAGTCCCTAAGACTATTACAAGACCTGTATTTTTTTAAGAATATTTTTCGAGGACTATAAAAATCGTGGATTTGCTAAAAAATATTTTTTGAAGACCTTTAGGTGGGTGGATTTTGGAAAAATAATTGTGTAAATACTTTTGGAAACATTGATTTGTCCCACTGTAATTTTTTCCCCATATATTAAGTTGTCTTCCAAAAAATCTATATGTACATGTTTATGTCGTAAAAAATTCCTTTCGCTTCGCTGTGCATCACTACAATTAGATTGTTTCTTTGCGTAGCCTTTCAATGAATACTGAGTGGTTATTTCAGCCATTCTAAGTCATTAGTTACGGTTGTGTTAGCATTTAGTCATTTCATTTCATGCTTGCTTTTGCAACTGGACCTCCAGTACTTTAATTTCATCATACCGTCAGTTAGCTATCCATCCATCCATTGGCAAATACCTATGAATTTTCTTTGGCCAGTGGCAGGCGGTGGTAGCACCACCATCATCAACATAAAGGAATACTTTCAAATTACTACAATGGACCATTATGTGGCCGGCTTGCTCTTTTTTCGGGTGTCTATGTGTCTGTGTGAGTATCTATGTGTGTGCTTAAAGAAGAATGCTAACAGAGAGAGAAAAACTGCTGACGCGTTTGGTGAATTATTAAAATGCCTTTGCGTTTTCGGTTTTTTTGGGGTCTCGACTTGGTCTATCTAACAAATCGAAGTACTTTCTGTTGCAAAGGCGTTGAATGGTAAATTCCTGTTAGTCTAACCAACCAACAACAATGACATAATAGAGAAGAAAAGGCGAACTATTACGTTACGCTCAAAGTGAACTGCTACAATTTGCAAAGCCACAGACAGACATGGTGTACTTGAAGAACTTTCTTCGGTGGGGAGAAAGAAATTTTTCTGATAAGAACCTAATTTACCAGCAGCACCCCTCAAACTAGTTGGTCATCTTATTACTAAATTGTAGTTGTAGAATATGTTTTAATGTGTGTGTGAGTTGTGTAGCGAGGGCCACCACTTTCACATTATTCCAATGCCATATTTAATAGACTAGAACCAAATAAATGTCATTGTCTTTCGATACATAGCAATTGGGGGTAAAAGGTCTAACAAAAGGCTAAATCTATTCAAGTACTCATAAAAGAGCTTAAACACGCACATTTTGCCATTTTTGTTGTTGTTGCTGCTGCTGTGGTATTGGCAATAAAATGAAATAGGAAATTGTGTATATTTTCCATAAATTACCAAGTAAATACGAAAAGTGTAGCATTCATTGGCATTTCAATATATATTCAATATTGGTCAATTGGTTATCTAACATTGCTGAAGATCCTCCACTTCAGTTGATACAAAAAATTCATGGAGGGTGGAGGTTAGGTGCCAAATTAAGTGCCTGCCAAATTTGTTATTGTAACGGTCAGGAAAGAAAAAATATTGATTGCTTTGTTGGATGTATTACTTTGAACTTTTCATGCTCTCTTCTACACTCATCACTCTCTTTTTTTATTGGTTTCCACTATTGTGTATAACTTATAGCCATGTTTCAAATTAAGGTTGGTATCTTAGGGATTAAGGGACAAAAATGGTCCAGCAATGTATACGGAGTTTATGGGGTCTGTAAAAATTCACGCCCATTTTTCTTCTTTAAAAAATCCACGCCCATTTCTCTTCTTTAAAAAATCCACGCCCATTTCTCTTCTTTAAAAAATCCACGCCCATTTCTCTTCTTTAAAAAATCCACGCCCATTTCTCTTCTTCAAAAAATCCACGCCCATTTCTCTTCTTCAAAAAATCCACGCCCATTTCTCTTCTTTAAAAAATTGACGTCCATTTCTCTTCTTTAAAAACTCCACGCCCATTTCTCTTCTTTAAAAAATCCACGCCCATTTCTCTTCTTTAAAAACTCCACGCCCATTTCTCTTCTTTCAAAAATCCACGCCCATTTCTCTTCCTTAAAAAATCCACGCCTATTTCTCTTCTTCAAAAATTCAAGCCTTGCTTTAGGCCTTGAAAAAATATTCTTTTATAAAACCACGCCTTGTTTTAGGCATTGAAAAAAATATTCTTTAATAAAACCACGCCTTGTTTTAGGCCTTGAAAAAAATATTCTTTAATAAAACCACGCCTTGTTTAGGCCTTGGAAAAATATTCTTTAATAAAACCACGCCTTGTTTAGGCCTTGGAAAAATATTCTTTAATAAAACCACGCCTTGTTTAGGCCTTGAAAAAATATTCTTTAATAAAACCACGCCTTGTTTTAGGCCTTGAAAAAATATTCTTTAATAAAACCACGCCTTGTTTTAGGCCTTGAAAAAATATTCTTTAATAAAACCACGCCTTGTTTTAGGCCTTGAAAAATATTCTTTAATAAAACCACGCCTCAGTTGGCCCTTGAAAAATATTCTTTAATAAATCCACGCCTCAGTTGGCCCTTGAAAAATATTCTTTAATAAGTCCACGCCTTGTTTTAGGCCTTGAAAAAATATTCTTTAATAAGTCCACGCCTTGTTTTAGGCCTTGAAAAAATATTCTTTAATAAAACCACGCCTTGTTTTAGGCCTTGAAAAAATATTCTTTAAAAAATCCACGCCTTGTTTTAGGCCTTGAAAAAATATTCTTAAAAAAATCAAATAAAAATATTCTTAAACCAGTAAGGAAACTAGTAAAGTCGGACTGGGTCGACTATATGATACTCTTCACCACTTTGAACAATAAACACAAATTGGTCGAAATTATATATGGAATCTAAGCTACATCTAAATCTGAATCGATTTCAAGGCAACTTATATATAGGGGCTTTGGTGCTCCATTAACATAAAATCAGACGAAAATATGTATGGGAACTATATCTAAATCTGAACCGATTTTCACGCTATTCAAGGCTCAATTCAGTGCCCTATGCAAAATTTCGTGCAAATCGATAGAAATGTGGGGACTTTGGTGCCCCATTTACCTTAATTCGGACGAAAATATATATGGGAGCTATATCTAAATCTGACACGATTTTCACGAAACTTAACATACGTTATTCTATACTCAATTCAGTGCCCAATGCCAAATTTCGTGCAATTCAAAAGATATATAGGGACTTTGGTCCACCATTTACATAAAATCGGACGAGAATATATATGGGAGCTGTATCTATATCTGACACGAATTTCTCGAAACTTGACACACGTCATTCTAGATTCAATTCAACACACTATGCCAAATTTCGTGAAAATCGAGATATATAGAGAGACTTTGGTGAACCTTTTACATAAAATCGTACGAAAATCTATATTGGAGCTTTACCTAAATCTGTCCCGATTATCTCGAAACTTTACACACATCATTCTGGGCCCATATCAGTGCCATATATAAAATTTCGTGCAAATCGAAAGATATATGGGGACTTTGGTGCACCATTTACATAAAAGGGAAAGATATATGGGACTTCGATACACCATTTACCTTAAAACGGACGAAAATATATATGACAGCTATATCTAAATCTGAGCCGATTTTTCCCAATTTCAATAGGATTCGTCCTTGTGTCAAATAAGTGAGCTGTGCCAAATTTCATCCATATCGGATCGCAAATGTGACCTGTACTTTGTTTACCATTTAACAACTACAGACTGACACACGGACGGACGAACATGCATAAATCGACTCAGAAAGTGATTCTATGCATAATCTCAAAAGGAACCATATATCTATCTCATTTCCTTTTGCCTTTTACAAACATATGCACAAAGACATAATACCCTGTACCACAGTGTGTTGAAGGGTATAAAAATCTACACCTTTTATAGGACTTAAAAAATTTGTTTCTCAAACGTTTGGCCCAATGGCAACATTTTTTGCAATACCTCCAACTCTAGCCAATATTCCTGTTGTTATTTGCTAGTGGGTGTATATCAGATATTGAGATATGGTGTCAAAAGAAATAGAATTTTAACATTTGCTGACAGGCAAGAACTCAACAAGAAAAACTCAAAAAATTTAAGGAAAAATACTCAAAAGAAAAACAGAAGTCTTAGTCAACTTACATGCTACACGTATGATACGTTTATCTTCAATGGCGCCACCAGAAAAACGTAAATTCGTTGCACGACATGTCAGTTCGGCGTTATCATTCTCCGAAGTTACCTTTAATGTCAGAATGCTGGTTGTTTTATTTGAGTCCTATGGAAAAAAATAAAATAAAGAAAAAAGAAGAGGAAATATAAGAATCAGTGGAAACACATGGGAAGAACAAATTTTTGGTATGTACGATTTTTTTTTGCGGCAATAGTTTGATTTCCTTACCTCTCTGATGGTAACCTCTGGATTACGTATTGGCTCACCATCCAATAGCCATGTAATTTTGGCTGGCGGATGTGAACCCGTTGTCTCACATCTAATTGGCACTGGATGTCCTGCTGTCAGCAAATCATTTGGTGTTACAATTTTCACTTTTAAAGGTTTCACTGGGGGAGAAAAGGAGAGAGGTATAAAAAGAAAAGAGATGAAACATGATAGCATGGACAAACATCAAAGGTTAGCATTTTTCTTTAGTTCCAATACTTTTTTCTTTTATGTTATTATATCCTTCTTTTTTATTTAATTCTTCCTATGACTTACAATAGACTTGCAAGGCAACTTCCTTTGTCACCGGCTCTATCAGCTTGGAGCCCTGAGCACGACATTGAATTTTTGCTCCATAGTAATCTCTGGGCGTTGTGCCAATCAGTAATTGATTGACAATGACGGTGGCTCCTTCTTCGGTAGATGTATGACTGGTACCGATTAATTCTGTATCACCCATCCACCAGGTGACTTTGGGTGGGGGACGACCTGCAAAGAATAGGAAGAATAGTCGAAGGAAGAGAAAATTGAATATTAATGAAATATTTACATTTTTATAGACATATTTTATCTTTGTAAGGGATATTAATACATGGTTTATTGGATTAATAATATTAAAGGAGTTTATTGGAGGTCAGAAATAAGTCGTACACCGCTCTGTCGTAAAGGATATTATGTCGTTGTGTAGATGTTTATAACATTAAAAAATAGGAATTGTTGATATTTTTGATAGATATTATCTACTATAAGGTTTTCTGACCTAGTCCAAACTAACGGACAGGAAGACATGTGAAATCCAACGAATGTCGTTCTTGGTGGAATCACTTCGCATGTTTACAGAATCCCTTGAAAATATGTTTCGAAAAAAATATTTTTTAAAAAATCTACGCCTTGCTGGAATTGATGGAGATGATAAAAAAGGAGGTCCTTTGGCTTCCGAATTTCTACGGAAGCCTTTTCCACATAGAAGGGGTTTTTTGTCCATAAAAGTCCTGAGCAGGTTTGTAGATAGACTTCTGTATGTCAATAGGAGACCTAGGTCGTACTTCTGCCTATATATTGAAGACCAGTTGCTGGATCTTTTCTGTATCTAGAAAATCTGGAGGATGTATAGAAGCCATGTGGGAGGATTTTTATCAAAAGAGGGTCAAAAGGAAATATTTTGTCAATAGAATACCATATATAAAATTCTTAAATGGGGTCTGCGGCATTAGAAGAGATCTATGAAATGTGTACATAAAAGGCTTGTGGGAAGGTTTATCTATATGCAAGACAAATGCGTTTCCATAGAGGTCATGTAGGAGATTAGGAAGAAATTTAGTGAATCATTAGAAGAGATCTATGAAATGTTCTGTAGCATAGCAACTGCATAAAAGGTCTGTGGGAAGGTTTCTCTGTACGGAAGCTTACTAGGTTCTATAGCGGTCCTGTAGATTATTTTTTTTCTGGCAAGTGTTAAATATGTGTAGGTCTTCAACGCGCGAACGTCTTCTGAATTTATATATCCATAGAAGGTCTATGAATGACACCTCCTAGGTATTCGACAGTAAAAAGGTATATAACCTTGAGGTTCTATAGAGGACTTTTTCTGGGTAATGTCTAGAATATCTATGAAAACATGTCGAAAATATTCCATAATGAAAGGGTTCTATAGAGTTCATGTATGAGGTCTTCTCCTGCTAGATGCTCCATATGTCCACGTTCAACGATGAGAACGTCTTCTGCTTTCGAGCTGAAGTTTTTTATATCCTCAAAAATGTCTGTGAAAAAACGTCGCAGATATTCTATAATAAGAGAGGTCATATAGAAAGTCTATAGAGGATGATATTTTGGAGGTATTTTTCTGGGAGATATTCTATTTATGGAAGTCTTCAATACAGAGAAGATACAGAAGGTCTATAAAAACCATAGGTATTTTAATATAAAAATGGGTAAAGGGACCTCAATTTCGTTTTCGCTCAGGAGCTTTCCATAAAGAATTTCCATTCAAAACTACCGTATATCAAGTTTGCTCAAAATCGGTTCAGATTTAGTTACAGCTCCAATACATATTTTCTTCATATTTAGGGTTAAAGGGGTTCACGAAGGACCCTATATTCTTCAAATTTACAAGAAATTTTTCATACAATACTGAATTGTGTCAAAATGATTTAAATCGGTTCAGATTTAAATATATCTCCCATATAAATTATCGTTCTATTTCAGGTTAATGGTGCTTCAAGGACACTTTTTTTGTCCGAGTGACACGAAATTTTACATAGCGTAATTAATTTAGTATAATATATTGAGAAATAGAGAATTGATGTCAAATTAGGATAAAATCTATTCAGAATTAAATATAACTGTCATATCTGATTTCGTCCGATTTTAAATAAATGATGCCTATAAGACCCGAGTAGGTCCGATTCATATGAAATGTTGCATAGGTTTCTGAATTTAGTCTAGATGTTATGGTCCAGATGAATGCCGCACAAAGTATACGATTCTTATATGACCTCTTGCATATACTCATTGTTGTGTAAGATTCTGTTCATCTTTAGTTTCTTCCTTACTAGGTTTTCTACTTAGTCCTGAGGTTTCGGATATCAGCAGCATGGTATCCCAATTTTTATGATTTTTTGTTTATCCTTCCTTTTCATTGTTTGTTGAAATTTTATCAAAAGGACGTTAACAATATAATTGCCTTTCCCCTACGTCGTATATTTTAATTTCCTTCCGAAATCCCTTTTATGAAATTGCTAAACATCTGGCCAATAAAATCCACATTAATTCCTGGAATTAATCAATGTCCAATCGACGTGGGATAATTAAGTTAATTTTCAGCGGAAGTGAAACAAAACTCACAGCACCAACAAAGCGTTACATAATGAAAGGATACCACCGAAGGATGATTCATGAAAATTTGGAGGCATCATGAAGGGATAAATTCACGAAAATTGAAGGCAACAAGTAGTACCAGAATTTTGTAGCATCAAACAACGAACATCAAACACATAGCTCGACACATAACACTAACTGATTGTGGACTGTTAATTTGCAGGCAAATCAAACAATGAGCAGAGACAACAATAAAAAGCGAAAGGATTCCAAAAAAATCCAGCATAACTGTTACGAAGAACAAAAAAAACGACCCTTCCAGCCTTGCTCAGCAAAAACAAAAGATAAACTACCCAAATATTCGGCACCTCCCCTCTCAAACTTTATGTTTATCATCATCACTAAACGAATGGATATTCATGGTAGTAAGAGAAAATATGACGTTTTTAGCCATGAATATATGAGTCCAACCTCATGTAATTGCATATGTATGTGTGCGTATCTCTTCTCGTACAATTCAATTCGCTGTACTACACACAAAACTTGGCTCTCCACACACACACACACATATTCACACACATTACACGATGTATAAACAAGATTGATGGGTATGTAACCGAAATTACAAATGAATACATATGTATTACATTGTATGAATACATGTGAGGCTGTGGTTGTGTGTGTGCGATTTTTTAAATAGATCACTGGGATATGTAACAGTAACAAAAATTATGTTGACTCACACCCCACACACACTGTTGGACAGCTAAGTGCGATGTATGTGTGATGAAAACGGGTTATTTGTTTGATACAAATAATGAAAAAATAAATAAAACACAAGTGAGCGAATTATTACAACAGATGTTCTGTTATTCGTATGAACTGAATATGGGGAGGGGAATTATTTATAATATTACATAAATATATATTTTATTAAAATAGAAACTGTTCCGATTTAATAAAATTGCATATGTATTTTGGACAACTGAAAAAATTGTATTTACTGAAGAACAGAAAATGCGGAAGAGAAGAGATTTTTACAGGAAGAATAGAAGAGCTAAAAGATAAACTATTCTGAACCAGAAGTGTTCGAAATTTCTTAAACAAAATAAAAAATAAAATCCACCACGCAACAATGATACCGCTGACTTTATATTCTCATCTCCAAACTTATTTCGGTTGAAGGCATTATCTACCAAACTATTTATTTGTAACCGATATATACACAGGAACAGGTGTAAAGTCACTGACAAGGAGTTCTACTTAATCAAGAAGAACTCCAAGTAAATTTCACGAAAAATTATACAAATAGGATCATCGATGACGATCGTAAAAAGCCCAAGTCGGCCTCTTACAATAGAACAAATATCACAGAGAAATATGCACCATATTGATGACAGAGGAAAATAAATAACACCAAACCATCGGGGGAGTCTATGGATGACAATAGGTCTTTGGAATCATCAACCAGTGTTAAAATAGTAAGAATATGTCCAGATATTTCAGAAAAATTGCTGGTAAAAAGTCTTTTAGGAAGGCGATAATGATTCAACCTCCTTCTGTTAATCCAATGACCTAGGATAACTCATCAGATGTTTGAGCTTTAAATCTGAGAAGACTAAATACTGCTAAGCAATTCTACGTCGCCATAGTGAGAGGGAAGCCTTCGAAATTATCACTTCTGTCACTAGCAAATGCTGCCTTGTGTTCGATCCGCCCTCCTCGTAGTAGCAGTGACCAGTTGAGAAGTGGTAAACACCGTTGCTAACATTCCAGCAATCTGCGTCAAATGCTTCGGAGGAGGGCAACCAACGACATACACAATTTGAAGTATCGATTTCGAGGGTTTCAGCCACCCTGGGGACTATACCTCTGTAACAAGTGGCGGAGAGATCAATGCAGCTGCTTATTTCTCAAACAATTTCCTTCGAATGTTTCGGTTGTGTCGGAGGAGAGAAACCAACGACATATCGATCATTTGCTTCAAGATAGGTATAAATAAAAATCGTGATTGTTGAGTTAATGATACTGAATTGTTCGTTAAATTAGACTTCACGTTGTGCAAAAAAAAATTAATATATCTTACACATTTGTAAGATGTGAGACAACTAAAAACATAAAACACATTTACTGCAAATTTGATTTTTTTATTTATGCCGGTCTTGCCACAAATGTGCGATGTAATAAGTCAACCCCAGGACAAAAGTCATGAAAGGGAATCTACTACTAAGAAATTCAAAATCGGCAATTAACGCGGCAAATCCGATGTAGGATGTGTTCTAGTCTTCAGTGCAAATTTCGGAGGCTTATGTTTATCTAAGAAACTAACAATTATACAGGAGAAACAACTAATCAGGAAGAGGTCAACACCATTACTTTTTGCGCTGTAAACTGCATTGAACGCTTCGAAGGAGGATTCTGTCATCAGTGATTAGGGGAAGAAAAATCCATTTTGCAAGGATCCCTGAAATCGAAATCGATGCAGATGGATTCAGTTACTTATGCAAAAAATCCACATGAACGATAAGAAGCATTTGTTAAAACAGCTGAGCCCGATTGATGTATCATCGATGTTCATTTGGTGTCTTCTGAATAACCTTGGCAGTTCCTTGAAGTAAGAATGTGTAAGAATGTGTTGTCGCCAATTTTGGCGTCCGGCAGGTGAAGCAATCTTAAGGAGGCGTAATAGAGTTACGTTTTGGTAAGTTTTGGTAACAAGGGCAAATCCGTGTTCCTGAACAAACGGAGTTCCGGAGCTCTCATTGTGGATTTATTTTTCTGGAAGCTGCAGCAATTATTCCCGAAGAGGTTCACACCATTGTCTGTAACGCAACTAACTGCCTCCAAAGGTAAGTAGAAAATCCAATTATCTTTGAATGGTGTGAATGGAGACTCAATCGAAGCAGACGTTTTCGTTTACTCAGGCAAGAATTACAGTTGACCGACTAATACCGGTGAAGGTGATCCCGAAATCTCTCGTCGCACTGGGGACGGAAAAACAGCAACCCGTTCCGACGATGCCAAGAATCTGTGTTGAAGGAAGAAAGTCTAGGTGTTTCTAAAATCAGACCAATTCGGCTAAAGGGGGAATTGAATCAAGTGGATCTGCTTCTCAGGCAGGAGTTTTAGTTGACTAATGAGAACCAATTACGAAAGAACTGACCCTGATGAATTTAATAGCGACGCTCATTTGTTGTCAGTCGACCTATTTTAAGGACCTAAACACGTTGTCGAAGCATTTTTTAAGATTACAGGAAGTGAGGATCTCCACAGTTGTGGCTATTCTACTATCCTCTACCACCACGTAGAAAAATCGGTAGCATGCATGGTAGCATGCAGCAAAATTAGTACGGTGAAGATGAAGCAGAACCTCAGGCTTTAGACGGAATCCGAAACCGACAAAAATCAGATGGTATTTTGTATCCAACTGCGATGAAACTTGACTAGTTATAGAATCCGAAACCGACAAAAATCAGATGGTATTTTGTATCCAACTGCGATGAAACTTGACTAGTTATAGACATAGCTCCGTAATTTATTTCCTCAGATTTCAAATAGTGCGAAAATTCCATACATTTGCCGCTTGACAAGAAATTATGAATGGTCTGCTGGCTTCAGTTTACTTTTCTTGTTGGTGTGCAATATTCAAAGAGTCAATAGGTGTCAAGTTTAGGCAGGATGGCGAATGACCCATTAATTCCACGTTTTAACCATTTAAACTTGTTCGGATTTGACCAGATGCGTGAGAACTCGGACTGTCAAGGTACACAATAAGTTGTCTTCTCTTGTTCGATTTTCGAATATTTTTAAAGACTTGAGAAAAATAAATTAACCTGTAGTATTGGATCGGTACGATAACCCTGTGCGAAAACGATCGTGGTCAAAAAGCGTTGAAGCACCTCAAACGGTGGCAAAAACCAGAACTAAAGGCCAGGAAGGTTCTTCTATGCATTTGGTGGGACTGGAGTTGCTGCTTATTATGAGTTGAACAGAGACAGCCAGAATTGGCCAACAGGAGAGTTGTTGCTATGCTACACACATCTACAGTGACTCGCCAGAAACTTCGGGAGCTTGGTTGGAAAGTTTTAATGTATCCGCTATACAGTCTGGACCAAGCGATTATCATATTTTTCTTGAATTGCAAAATGTATTTAATGATACAAAAAATTGGTATCTAGGGAGGATTGTAAAAATCGACTACTAGAGTTTTTTGCAAATAGATAGCAGGACTTCTATGAAATTACCTTTAAAATGGCAACAAATAAAACAACAAAACGGTGCTCATTTGGCTCAAATCGGACATTCCGAAGCATGTTAAATAAAGTCCTATAGTTCAAACAAAAATAATGGATTAATTTTTATATGAACCCAACGGTATATATGTTCGTCCGATTTTTTATAAATAATATACAGAAGAAACCACGGTATTCCGAACATAGGTCTTACATTTTGTATAACACTACTTGTATATACTTAATGTGGCGTCTGACTTTAGGCTTTTCCTTGCTGGTTTTTTGGTTGAAATATCTAGCAATTCCGCAGCTTATAACCCAACCTATGTGGAGAAGAGCTACTTTTCTAAGAAAATTAAGAAATTAACAAATCTTTCCTTCATTCTTATATTTGAGACTTGGACATTTCTGCCCGAAAAATTCATTGTTTTCCTGTCCAAAACCCGCCATAAAATTCTTACACACATTTTGCTGAACTCTCTACCATACAACATAATGAATATCCATATGATGTTAACTGGGAGGGGCAGTATGTGAAAAAGGGTAAACACCCCTACAAATGAGAATGTAGTAACATACATATGAATTCTCCTTTATGACATCAGAACATTTGCACATACTTTATTAGGAATCCCAAGGATCCAAGGGTTATTGTCGGGCTGCTCTTCTTCTTTTGTCTTTACAAAACAGAAGACGGCGAAGAAAAAGAAAGGAACAGCTTCTGTGATGTTGCTTTATGAGAAATGAAAACATGTCACTTTATGACATAATGGCGGATGATTCTACAACAATGCCAAAAAACAAAATAAGAAACCAGAATGCAAGACACTCACTTTGTTGGCCTTTACCACTGTTAAGATGCTGATACGCATTCTTTAATGGCGGCCTTTGTGATGATGGTAGTGATGGGGATGGGGATAATAATGCGCCAAGAAGGCAAGACATATCAGACGGCACACAAAAAAATAACAAGAAGAAGTAGCAAAAAAATTAAGAATCATTAAGCATTTTTATTGCCATGGTCATGGTCATGGGAATCATGATCCAGAAAAGGCCAGAATTTTACTACTACTGACTGGCTACGACTGATGGGCATGCTTAAGACATATCAACAAGCAAAGGCTTTTCTTTTATTTTTATTATTATATGTCTGATTCTCTTAAATGTTGGCCATGTAAGATATGGCAGACAGGTGAGTGTGTGTGTATGTGTGTGCTAGAATTTCCTTTTAGTCCTTGCCGCTTTTAAGTAGTTTTTTTTCAGTTTTATGTTTCTTCGTCTTTCATTTTTGATTATCAACTTACCTCCTTTAACTTGACAGCATAAAAACATTTCATAACCCTCACGAAATGGTCCTGCCTGGGCAATTTCATTACCTTGGGCATCGAATATGCGAGGCTCTTCTGGAGGAACTATAAAAGAGAAACAGAAAAAAACAACAACAAACAATGAAACAAAGAAGTCGTATGGTGGAAAAAAACAAGCGTATAAATATTATTATGGTCATATGAAAGTTAAAAGCATGGAACGCCAAGTTATACATAAATTTCGCCACGTGATTTTGTAGTTCGGAATAAACAACCTGCACACAACAACAGAGGATAACAACAACAGCATCTGGAGTGGCAGCGACAGCACCGAGGCTTCAGATGGAAGACAAAACGGAACGTGAGCTGCATTCAGAAATATTCATTAGGTCCATGTATAGAAGGTAGAAGGTAACCCATATATGCAGATGTATGGGTGTGTGTATGAGTGTGTTTGGTGGGTACCTCAACGGTATGCCTGAACGGATATGAATGTGGTGGTGGTGGTAGTGGTACTGCCATCACTCGTCCATGTGCGTAATCACATTTCCCTTATCCACGTATCACACGAACCAAACTTGGCCAGAAAAACACTCCACAAACACAACACACCGACAAACACACACATCCAAACGAATATACACCATGAGACACCATCAAGGTATGTTGCGAAATAGTTTGTTGGACGTATGGCTGCCATACCAAAAACAGCCATACCACCGTGCCGCCATGTCAAACTTTATCGCGTTGCGGATAATGGAAAAAGCGTAAAAACTCAATGTTGTCCAACCGGGAAAACGAATGAATGGTGCATGGGCAAAAGTTTTTCCCCAGCAACCAACCGACCGACCGACAAACTTTTGCCCGTGAAACGTGATAGTGAAAAGTGTCTCTTCTAATTTTTGCCAATGTTTACTTTTTGAAAACGTAAATATCAATGTGGATAAACAAACAAACAGACACACACACACGCACGTACACCTACTCACATCACAGGAAGGTGTCACTATCACACAGATAGTATGTGTGCGTGTGTGTTCATGTATATTTTCCATTTGTACGCCACAACGCATTTTTATCACAGTGGGTGGTATAATTTATTTTTTTTTTATTTTGGTGTTCGTTAACCACACGGCAAGGGTAACTGGCGCTAAGCGTGGGAATTTTTGTTTAAAGTTTATTTTAGGCAGGAATCATTTGTGTTGGACATTTCCATTAAAGAAGGGGGGATTTTAATGTGTTGAAATATATATCTGGTTATGGAGATGTGCGATATACCAAAACATAAAGAGATGATGCGGTTTATTTGCTTTTAATTCAGTTTCACCTATATTAAGCGATTTTTGAAATTAACAAACAATGGCCGATTTGTCCATCGGCTAAAAAAGAATAAAACCCTGCTTTAGGTTCTCTATAGGTTTCTTATAAAACTTCTTCTCGAGAAAGAAATGTTCTTTTCCAAAACTTCTCATTGGTATATTAAAAAATATATTTTTTTAAAAAAATCCACGCATTGTGGGTATATTAAACAAAATATTTTTTAAACCAGTGAGCGCAGCAGTATAGTAGGACGACCATATGATACCCTACACAACTTCCACGAAAATCTAACTTTCTGTGGTAATACATTCTGAACTTGAGCAATATTTCGCGATATTTGCATCCTCTTGACCGACTAGAGGTCAACAAATATTACTAAAATTCAGTACAGCCCTTCTAATTACCTGATTCCCTTCGCCGTGTGTTGTGTTGTTATGTTCGGCTTTCAACTGTGGCCTATAGAACGACTCGAAAAAAGTTGTTTTTGACCGTACCAAGATCCTCATAGAATCAGTGCTATATTTCCGCCCTCTAGTGTGGTAATGGGTTACTAAATAATATCTCAGTACATAAACACCTGTAAATATTTAAGTGTATCTCCCACACCCGAGTACATACAATAATATAATTGGTATCATACAAAAGTCAGGGTCCATTAGACCCGCTAAATATTGACCCATCTTTATCAAAACACGCTTCTGTTAGTCCTTTAAAAAACTTCGTTTTAAGCTCAATATTCTTTAAAAGTCCACACCATGTTTTTGGCCTTGATAACAATATTCTTGAAAATCCGCGCCCAGTTTTAGGGCCTAAACGAATACTTTTAAAAACACAACATTTTTTAGGCCTTAAAAAATATTCCTAAAATATTCATGCCTTCTATTCCTTAAAAAATATTTTTTAAAAACCCACGTCGTCTAATATTCCATAGCAAAATACTCTATTAGTCCAAGCCTTCTATTAGTCCTTAAAAAAATATTGTTTAAAATTCCAAGCCTTCTATTAGTCCTTAAAAAAATATTGTTTAAAATTCCAAGCCTTCTATTAGTCCTTAAAAAAATATTGTTTAAAAAATCCACGCCTTATAATAGTCCTTGAAAAGAAAATATATTCTTTAAAAATCCACGCCTTCTAATATTCCTTGAAAATATATTCTTTAAAAATCCACGCCTTCTAATAGTCCTTGAAAATATATTCATTAAAATTCCAAGCCTTCTATTAGTCCTTTAAAATATATTCTTTAAAAATCCACGCCTTCTAATAGTCCTTGAAAATATATTCTTTAAAAATCCACGCCTTCTAATAGTCCTTGAAAATATATTCTTTAAAAATCCACGCCTTCTAATAGTCCTTGAAAATATATTCTTTAAAAATCCACGCCTTCTAATAGTCCTTGAAAATATATTCTTTAAAAATCCACGCCTTCTAATAGTCCTTGAAAATATATTCTTTAAAAATCCACGCCTTCTAATAGTCCTTGAAAATATATTCTTTAAAAATCCACGCCTTCTAATAGTCCTTGAAAATATATTCTTTAAAAATCCACGCCTTCTAATAGTCCTTGAAAATATATTCTTTAAAAATCCACGCCTTCTAATAGTCCTTGAAAATATATTCTTTAAAAATCCACGCCTTCTATTTGTCTTTGAAAATATATTTATTAATGAATCCACGACCTGTATTAGTCCTTGAAAATATATTCTTTAAAAATCCACGCCTTCTAATAGTCCTTGAAAAGAAAATATATTCTTTAAAAATCCTCGCCTTCTAATAGTCCTTGAAAATATATTCTTTAAAAATCCACGCCTTCTAATAGTCCTTGAAAATATATTCTTTAAAAATCCACGCCTTCTAATAGTCCTTGAAAATATATTCTTTAAAAATCCACGCCTTCTAATAGTCCTTGAAAATATATTCTTTAAAATATCCCCACGCCTTCTAATAGTCCTTGAAAATATATTCTTTAAAAATCCACGCCTTCTAATAGTCCTTGAAAAAATATTCTTTAAAAATCCACGCCTTCTAATAGCCTTCTAATAGTCCTTGAAAATATATTCTTTAAAAATCCACGCCTTCTAATAGTCCTTGAAAATATATTCT